TCTGAGTGATGAGATTAAAGGCGTGCACCACCACCATACAGCTGACAATTTTATTAAATTGAAAAAAATACTATATGCGTATCTAATTTCTTCTGTAGTATAACTGTCCCCTATCCATATTCTTGTAATTAATCTCAATCAAACTCATTGCTTCACCAAGTTGGATTTAGGAGCTATTCTGACTTTGATTCCCTATCTAAAGTAGAAGTTTGTTTTTATCTCTCTAGGAATAGTGTCACACAACACAATCTGGTTTTTAAAACATACTAATCTCAACTGTTTCAAATCCCTGTTTGCTCCAGGTGTGACAGCACGTACCTAAAATCCCCATCTCAGGAGGCAGAGACAGGTGGTTTTCTTTGAGTTGAAAGATGGCTTTATCTACATTGGGAGTTTCAGGCCAGCCAGGACTACAGAGTGAGGCCCTGTGCCATAAAATAAAAATAAGATAAACAAATAAGTTTAATTGAATAAAAAATGAAAGAGGACAGAGGTAGAAAGCAGGTGGGGAGAGGGAACGGGAGAAGGGGAACCTGGCATTTGTATGTAAAATAAATAAAATATTTTAATAAAAAATCAAATAGATGCCCATTTCCCTTATCCATTGCTTTAGTTCTGTTAGGCTAGACAGTGCTCTTGATAATCTTGATTTTGAGTGCATCATTGTCATATGCCTCATGTTATGTCAAGTACACATGATTAAAAATGTCCCACTGGGATGTTAACGGTTAACAGAGTTTGATAATATTGTTCAGGAGTGGTTTTAATGATTTTCCCAACTAGTTTCCTCTCCCAAAGACTGCCTTCCTAACTGCATCTCAGCCTCATCTAGGAATCTTCATAACATCAATGGAATGTTAACATTTGGCTTCCCACATTCACAAAATGTGAAGAAGATGAACAGGAAGAACTGTGAATGGGAGTCACCGGAAAGAAATTCTCAAATAATTGGTGAAAATATTATTTTAAAAGACTAGTGGTTGACTTGGGTGTGGTTGCACATCTTCATTTGTTGGTTTTTTAGTTTTTTTGGATTTTCGAGACAGGGTTTCTCTGAATTGTTTTGGAGGCTGTCCTGGAACTCACTCAGTAGACCAGGCTGGCCTTGAACTCACGGAGATCTGCCTGCCTCTGCCTCCTGAGTGCTGGGGTTAAAGGCGTGCGCCACTACTGTCCAGTTGTTGCTTGTGTAATCTCAGTACTCCAGAGGCAGAGGCTGTGAGTTCGAGGTCAGCCTTGTGTACAAATCGAGTTCCAGGATAGCCAGGTCTGTTAAGAGATATGTTAGACAAAGAAAACTTGTCTCAAAGAACCAAGAAAAAGAAAAAAAAACAATTAGTGCTCATTTAATTTGTTTTTAGCATTGGATAAGTTGATTTACCTGTTTCATCCTCCCTGACTATCCAAGGTAACAGTGGGCCTAGATGAGCTTCAAATTTTACCAGCTCAAATGCTCTAGATGCTACTATGCTAAAGCCAATCCAGGGTGTGGCGGTTTTGTGGCTGTCAGAGCTTCAGAGTCCAGAAAGTGGAAAGGATAGAAAATGGACAGGTTAGAATCCTCTTGCCAGAAAGATTAAGGCTTTTTTTTTTAAACAAAGGAAGCAATTAGGAATCTCACTTTCCTTCTCAAGAATGAGTTTTTCTTTTAATCTAAGTTAGAGAACATTAAGTCTGCTTTACCAATAAAGACCCAGTTTAGTTGGCCGTTGGTGGCGCACACCTTTAATCCCAGTACTCAGGAGGCAGAGACAGGTAGATCTCTGTGAGTTTGAGGCTGGGCTGGATTGACAGCCTCCAAAACAATACAGAGAAACCCTGTCTTGAAAAAACAAAAAAAAAAAACAAAAAAAAAAAAGAAAAAAATAAAGCCCAAGTTTTAGGTGAGTGAGAGTTCTTGAGATAAACCGGAAAGCTATGGAAATGTTAAAAGCCCCTATACATATGTAAAATGTTATTGCACTGAAGTCTTAGAAATAGAAAACAGTGTAAGCAAATGGAATCACAAAGAGTGTTGTGTAGTACACCACCTCTTTTTTTTTTTTTTTTTTTTTTTGCTTTTTGTGAAGGGTTTCTCTGTAGCTTTGGAGTAGTCTGTCCTGGACCTGGAACTCTGTAGCCCAGGCTCAAACTCAGAGACATCCTCTTGCTTCTGCCTCCTGAGTGCTGGGATTAAAAAGTCACCACAGTCTGGGCTTAGTCTTGTTAATGAAACAATTTAATAACAGATTCACATTCCTTGAATACTTGAATGCTTTTAATTCTAGCACCTGGGAGGCAGAGGCAGGTGCATCTCTGTGAGGTCAGCCTGGTCCACACAGGGAGTTTCAGGCCTTTCAGGGCTATACAGCGAGACCCTCTTCCTGCCATCCCTTCCCCCAAAAATGACAAACCAAAAAACCCTCAAACAGAGTGGGGCGTTGGTGGCACATGCCTTTAATCCCAGCACTAGGGAGGCAGAGGCAGGTGGATCTCTCAATAAGGTACGTACATCTCTCAATAAGACAGGAACCCTAAAATAATGGAGGCCACAAACAATTTCAACTTGCCCAGTAACCCCATGCTAATGGAGGAAAAGGTCAAGGGGTAGCGAAAAAGAGAAACTTGCTGTGCAGGAAGCCATTTCCCATAGTTCCGACAGCTTACCACGTAGGCAGGTTGCATTGCTTATCTGCTGCCTTCTCTTTTCTATCAGTTTAATTCTGCTGTGAGAGGGATTCGTAGCCTGGAGGCTAAGAGGATGGGCCTTTCCGGAATGATCAGCTTTTCACCTGAACTCCCATTCACTGCCTCTTCTAATTTACAATTACTCTCCTTACATCTTAAATTTCCTTTCCAGAAGGTGTCGATTCCAGTGCACTGTAGAGGCCCTTTAAGGGAGAGCTAAACTTCCTCCAGGTGGAAAGAATGGAATCTGAGCTCTGACTCTAAGTGAAGACTGGCATTCTGGCCTGCTCTAGAAAATGACATACTATTGTCCCCACCCTTAAGAGTTAATCCTTGGCTGGAGGGATGCTTCAGTGATCAAGAGGACTTATTGCTCTTGCAAAGAACAAGACCCCACACCAAGAGGCTCCAGGGATTCGATGCTCTCAGGCCTCTCTGAAATACTTAATCCATTTGGGCCTGGATGCCATACCACAGCTATTTGTCAACCTGCTTACTGAACATGCCATCTTGCTTGGACCCTAACTCAAAAACCAGTGCTTCTGCCGAGATCTACAGTTTTCATGCTCTGTGTTTTTGTTTCTTCAAACTCAAAAAAAAAAAAAAAAAGAAAAGAAAAAAAAAAGGTCCTTGAGCTTAGTCTGTGGGGGGTTTGCCGTTAGTTATTGTTTGAAGGTTTTTGGTTTTTTGTTGTTGTTTTTCGAGACAGGGTTTCTCTGTATTCTTTTGAAGGTTGTCCTGGAACTCACTCTGTAGATCAGGCTGGCCTTGAACTCACAGAGATCACCACATCCTGGCTTTTCAATTTGCTATTTTCATAATAGCAGTCATTGGTAATTACTGCCAATGACAGAGCTAGACCTGTTACTTATTTTTATGTGGTGTGTGCCTGTGCCCAAGCACTCCTGTGTTCTTTTCAGAGTCCATGTATGTTTAGGACACTATGGAGGCCGGAAGAAGAAACTGGATGCCCTGGAACTGGAGTTTCAGACTATTGTTAGCTGCTAGGAGCTGAACCCAGATCCTTTGCAAGAACAGTATGTGGTCTGAAGTGCTGGGCCATCTCTCTGGCCCCCTATCCCCAGCACCCCGCAGACAGGGTTTCTCTGTGTGGTCCTGGAACTTGCTCTGTAGACCAGGCTGGCCCTGAACTCAGAAATCCACCTGCCTGTCTCCCAAGTGCTATGATTAAAGGTGTGTGCCACCACTGCCTGGTGGAATGAACTTTCTTTTTGTTTTAATTTTAATTAGAAACAAGCTTGCTTCACATGTCAATCCCAGCTCCCTCTCCTTTCCCTCCTCCCCCACCCCCCCAAGCCCCCACCCAATCCCAACTCCACTCTCCAGGGAGGGTGAGGCCCTTCATGGGGGAATCTCCAAAGTCTGCCATATTGTTCCAGGGCAGGGCCTAGGCCCTCCCCCCATGTGTCCAGGCTGAGATAGCATCCCTCCATGTGGTATGGGCTCCCAAAGTCCATTTGGATGCCAGGGATAAATACTGATCTATTGACCGAGGCCTCAAAGAAGGCCAAAGCCTCCTCACTGACACCCACGTTCAGGGGGTCTGGATCAGTTGGAAGGAACTTTCTAAAGAGATGAGAATATTGGGCTGGAGAGATGGCTCAGAGGTTAACAGCAGGGGCTACTCTTCCAGAGGTTCTAAGTTCAATTCTCTGCAAACACATGGTGACTCACAACCATCTGTAATGAGATCTGGTGCCCTCTTTGACCTGCAGGGACACATGCAGTCTGAACACAGTATAAATAAATCTTTTAAAAGAAGAGATGAGAATATATTGACCTTAACTATGGTGATGGTTTCATAAGATCTAAACTTATGCAAAATTCACATAAATTAGCCGGGTGGTGGTACACTCCTTTAATCCCAGCTCTTTAGAGGCAGAGGCAGGTGGATCTCTGAGTTCAAGGCCAGCCTGGTGTACAGAGTTCCAGGACAGCCAAGGCTACACAGAGAAACTGTATCTTGAATAATATAAATTAACTTTATTATACAACCTGATGAATTGTGACCTGGAAGAAAGCCAAATAAACCTTTTCCTATTAAAAAAATGGAAAAGGTTTTTAAATTACATTTACTTATTCTGTGTGTGTGTGTGCGTGTGTGTGATGTGAGGAGGCCAGAGGAAAACTTACGGGAATTAGTTCTCTGCTTTCACCATGTGGTTCCCGGGAATTGAACTTGAGCTACCAGGAGTGGCAGTAAGCACGTTTACCAGCTGAGTTACTGTACCCACCCCCAAGTAATGATATTAAAATGATGAAAGCATAAGGAAGGAAAGAAGGTGTACCCCAAAACCACACGGTTCAACTCATTAACAGAGTTTTATACTTTATTGGAATTTTGCATCCTGAGAATAAACTTTTATCTGACAAGTGAACAATGACAGAAGCAGCAGTGAAGGTTTCAGAGGCAGGTGTCCTTCATTTTGGCACAGCTGGATATAGGTTGAGTTCTTCGAGGGGGAGTCGATCCTGGACTCCAGGGGGAAGAGGAATTCATTCCACAGGCTACATAACACTACACGATGCATGGAAGTTCTTGGTTTGACGGACATATCCACTAGTATTCTCTTTTGGTAAAGCTGTCCCAACAGGAATCCTCTGCCAAAATGTAGAAGTCATTTCATTTTCAACCGGTTTTTTTTTTTTTTGAACAATGCCAGCTCTGTTGCTATCTGGATGTCCTGTTCTTGCAGTAGAGATTCATAGGTGTATGTGGTTAGTCCAAAGATGGCAAACTAGCTTGTAGATAATATAATTTCAAACATTTGTAACTTGTTCCAAAGTCCAGGCATTAAAACAATTTCCAACTATTTTCTTACAATAGAAACAGAAAAGCAGGAAAATTATGCCAAAATAAAAGCAAATCAAATAAGGCGTAAAAGGAACATTTGAGAACTTATTGCCTTGATTATCATACAGACTTCACACACACTTTAAGAGGCTGAGAAATTGTTATTTAGACCAACATGACACTAAAACACGGCACATTTGCAATCCTGTATGTGTAATGGACACGTCTCAATGAATCAGTTCAGTTCCAGAACCCTGAAACAAACCAAAACTGAAGGCAAATTATAATCTGAATTTATAGCCCAATCCAGTTGATAACCCCCTTCTCCCTCTCTGTCTCTCTGTCTCTGTCTCTCTCTATCTATCATTCAGGGACTAGGAAACAATGTTTGAGAAGGTCAAATAATCTTGGTTTTTATAAAAGTGGCACCCAACATTTTCTTTATATGGATCTTTCAATTCCTTCCCCATTTTCAAGTATGTATTAAAGTACACTTAAGGACAGCTTTCTCATTTCCATTAATTACAAGCACACCTCTGTTCACAGCTTCTGATCAGCAATGTCGACAGACAGCAGGAAAGAACATGAGGAAAACACATGGTGATCCCATGTCTTGTTTGGCTGGCATAGAAGGAATGTGACAGGTCAGTGTGGCCTTTAGTGTTAATTTTTGAATGAATAATTCTTGAAAAAGGCTCAAGGATACTCTCCGCTGCTCTTTACCTGCCCCAAGCTGAGAACCAATGGTTTACACCTACCTGCTTTCCTCCTTAAATCAAGTATTAATGTAGTACAATCACTCATGTTGAACAAATAGGGCATTAGCAACAAAAGCGACTATTGAAAAAATTAAACCAACTGCAACACTTACTCTCTAGGGTGTTACCGAGAAAGAAAACCTAACAACATGGATTGAAAGTAACATCCACTCAGAAATTATATAATTATTTAATCCAATACTTCATTTAGTCAGTTTCTAAGCACATGAACACATGAAAAAGACCCTCAATTCCCCTGTGAGGTAGGTCCAGATTATCGTCCCCACGTCAGCAATGAGGACATTAGGTACAGAGGAATTAAGCAGCTGAGCTAAGAATGAAACCAGAAGCGACTTGGGGTTGAACTCTATGCTTTTTCCTTTCCGCCTAATTTTCGAAATTCATTCCAATAGACCTGCTTGAGAGTAGGGAACTTGGTGAGAAGCAGATGTGAAATTGAATACGCAACTCTTCACATACTCTAAGCAGACACTTTTATATGTCTGCTCTTGTCACAGCTACAATTCTTGCCTGGATACCAACTGCACAGTCAGATTCCACATGACAAAACACAGAGATCCTAGCCCTCGCTTCCTAGGGACACTACATTCACTTTTTGTCAGCACAGAGGGAATAAGGTCTACCAGGCATCAGATTCTTTGAGTGTGCTTTTATTAACACACACTGACTTGTAGTCAGCCAGCAAACTAAACTCAAACTATGTGCAAGGCACTGAGTTTCCACCACATGTGTAGATCTGAGAACAACCATCCTCACACTATGCACAGAAAAGATCTTTCACGACTTCTCACAATCATGGCATGTTAGCTCATCTCTCGCTTTTTTTTTTTTTTGCCAGCTCAAGGTTCAACCCTTTCCTTTTACAGATGAAAAAAACACTGGACACGTAATCTGGGTCACTTGCCTGGGGCCCACAATATTAAATAGATTGTTTCTTCCTTAAGTCTGACTTTGACGAAATTCACAGAAAATGGAACATATTCTCAGGTTGCCATCATCAAAATAAAAAGGCTGGCTCAGAATCAGGTAAGGAAATGTTGGAGCAAGATAAGGATTACATACACACATACATATATACACACATACACATTCGCACACACATACATGGAAGGACATACAGATATCCTTCAATTATTTTTAGTCACAAGTATATGAACAAGTATTAATAAACTTATTCTTTACCATGAAAAAAATCTTACAACAGTTCACCACTCAAGGGAACCTGGATGATTTGATAGTTGTAAAATAGACCTTTTCCTTTTCTTTTTTTTTAAATAAACAGATTTTGATAGGCATAATTGGACTTAATTTTAATGAACTTGAATATTTCTAATCAATTTAGTGAAAAATATTTCTGCTATGTAAACTGTTCCAATTAATCAGATAAATATAATTTCTATATTTGCCTAGGACATATAGCAAATCCAAATGAAATATTGTTTGGGGTCTTCATGTTCAAGTAGTGCTTTAATTTTTAAGTGGTAGGTAATCTGTAAAGGTCTCAGACATTTGAGAATACCTAATTGTTACTAGGCCTACAAATGTTATTGAGCTTTACTAAAATTATCAAAGGCAACAATAACTCTCATTAAAAATGGCAATGCTAGGCATGAACACAGTTTAATTTCTGAGATATTAGTGTTTACAGGTCATGCTAGTACAAGAAATATGGACATTCAATTCTTACATGAGTTTTGGTAGGGTCTTTAATCAAAGACCATTGTCCTTCCAGAACCATGTTAAATTCTATGCTTACTAGCATTACAATTACAGTAATTTTAAATAAGTGATAGTTTTATTCTATGGTATTTTGTCATTAATATATCACATGATTGGAAGCTAAGTAAATGGGCTTAAATAAGAGATATACAATAACCTTGTGCTATCATGCCTAGTTGAAAAGAATAATCTCTAATAGTCTGCTACTTCATTCATTCTACTTCCTTCCACATACCATGTTATCTTTGAAAAAGACAAGGCACTTTCCCATCTACTTTTAAAGTTACAATGATCTCTTTCCTAAATTAACATGGGGTAAGAGGGGAAAAGAGTAGAGGACATGTGTGAGATGGAGTTCATCTGCAAGTGACATTTGCCCATATTTTTATTAATAATATAGATGCTACTTGCCTTTTGGACAAGCTTTAAAATGACCAGTTGGATCAACTTATTAAACCAGAATCTTGTACCAAATGAGAAGTACCAGAAACCAATGCTCGCTTCTTTCTTTTCCTTCCTCCTTTCTCTTTCTTTCTTTCTTTCTTTCTTTCTTTCTTTCTTTCTTTCTTTCTTTCTTTCTTTCTTTCTTTTCTTTTCTTTTTCTTTCTTTCAGACAATGTCTCATTCTGTAGCCCAGGCTGGCTTCAAATTCAGGGCAATTCTCTTGCTTTAGCCTCTCATGTGCTGGGATTAAAGGTATTAAACCATCACCCCAGGTTTTTCACAACGTGACTTAGAAAAAAGTCTTTTAATTTGCAATCTCAAAGCCTGGTGACATTTAAGTGCTTTGGCAAAAACATGTTATTTTTAAACTTTTTTTCCCCTCTAGAAACTACCATGGCAGTTTTAATAAAGGGACATTATGTATCAAAGTAATTAAAATTTATTTTTTTCAATCAAAAATAACTTTCACAAAATAGTTGGCTAACCCAATGGAAAAATACAAGTTATACTCTCTCCTGAGGCTAAAAGAAAAAGAGTTTGGTGGGGGAGGAATTAGAAACCAAGGCGAACTCTATCACCTTAGCATCTGCTGAGTCATTTAACTACCCCAATTCTAATCCCCTCCTTTAAGGGAACGTAGGGTGAAACAAAGTTACATAAGAAAGAAAGGAAAAGAAAAGACAGATTGTTTTCTGGGTAGTTCAAGAAACTATGATTAGTAAACCAGTATATCAAACAATAAAATAACACATTTATGAGTGAGTGGTTCCAATTGAATGGACATATTGTGGTAAATGTTTTTAATGACAAATACTATTGTAACTTGAATTATACTTGGTCACCTCCAGATATAACCTATTCCTATATTAATACCTGTTTCATGGAAACAATTCATTACACTTCTTTTTTTTTGAACAAAATGAAGTGTGATTTGTACATGGCAGAAGAAATTATGATCACTATTTGGTCAAATTCTAAGGCTCAAGACAAATGTAAGATTGCTGAGGGCTGACATTCACAAGTAATGATTTTATCAGTGAGAATTAAAGATTCTGTATTATGATAGAAATAAATTTTGGTATTAAAATGTCACAGTATGAAGCATAAATCTGATGACACTAGCTGAACATAAAACACAGGTATGTTTTTCCCTGACCTTAGCTATAAAACAAGACATTGGGTATGCATTTTCAGAGACTTCCTTCTTGTCTATAAAAATACACCTTCAATTTTGCAGTAGGCAAACATATTTGCAGGCATACACAACATATTAAAACTTAGAGATTTGGGATGACAGGGTGACATGGGGGATTGGGGCTCCAAAAGTGTTTGTGTAAACCATTAGAAGCACGTATCAAACTGTGTGTCTTTCCTCCTCCTCTGGTCAAGGACTAAGATTTCAGATTGCGCATAACTTTTAAAAGTGGCTTTAAAAACCTTGACCTTGTATTCAGAAACGATTCCTCTGTTCACTGGAATGAACTTACTTAAAAGCAGTTAGGAGTAGAAGCAAACAGAATGAAAGTCAGTCACTGCAAATTACAAACAATGCCTATATATAGGCATTCACTTGCAGTTGAATTAATGTGATATAAAACTTTTGTCATAATTTCAAATTGTAGTAGAACCAGAATGGTAATCTCACTCAATTTAATTGTGAAAATAAAAAAGAGAGAAAGATGCATGCCCCAGTCAAAATGTGTGACCAATTTACAAATGGAAAACAATTGTATCTAAATTTTACTTGTCTTTCCTTGTTGGTAATTTCCAAATATTTATTAAAGATTCTTAAGCAGAAGGTTAAGAATATTTTATCAACTCTGACTGAACTACTACGCAGTCTGTAGATACAGTTTCTCAGTACTCTTTCTCAATGTAGAATAGAGGAACTTCAGAAGAGGAGAAACTGTGGCTTTTATCGAGGCCTTGATACCTCACAGGATTCAAAATCTCAAGCCACTTTTTTGTTTGTTTGTTTTTCTTTTTTTGAGAGAGAGCTTCTCTGTGTAGCCCTGGCTATTCTGGAACTTACTCTGTAGACCAGACTGGACTTGAACTCAGAGATCCACCTGCCTCAGCCTCCTGAGTGCTGGGATTAAAGGCATGCGCCACCACCTCCTGGCTTTCAAGACACTTTAAGGTGGAATTCTATGTATTTTCAAAGGAGTAAAAAGATAGGTAAGGGAAAGGAAATGAGAGCTAATACAGTGATAAGATGGGTTGGATGTCAAATATTATAGGGGATGGAGTGGAGGATAAATGGAGAAAGTGAATTAAATGGAAAAAATAAGATTCTTGGTCTCAGGTGTAATTTACAAAATCCGAACTAATGATTTCAATTGTAATCCACTTTGTTAGGAAGGGCAGTCCTGCCCCACACCTGAAATTTAACATACTCATTTTGGCTTTGCCACAAAACAGCATGTTAAAGGTCTCTACATTCAAAAGGATGCTTGCAAACTTCATTCATATTAAAATCTACACGGAATTGTTGGCAATACAGTAAGAATAATAATACATTCTGTAAACCATGGCATACCACATTTTACATTATGCAAAGAGACAATATTTACAAGTCTTTAGGAGTTTAAATATTTTATCCACTAACATAAGTGACAATTTAGCAAACAGCAGGAGGAAACCAGTGCGATTAATTGCATGTTCTTTAAAAGCAGAGTAAAACCATTTCTAAAAGCTACCAAAAGCGTATTTGGGTGTGTCCAGTAAGGGATTACAGAGCATTAAATAGCCTAGAAAATGATGCGTATTTAGAAATGGTGAGTGTGAAAATCCTAAGGCAGCATGCTCAGAACAAGGGTTTTGTGTCTTTACACACCAGCACTGATGTTTTTCTTGTCAACTACATATACTAGTATATGTTTGTGTGTATTTATTTAAAAATTGAGAGTGCAAAACACAAGCCTCATTTAATAACAAAAAAGATGTGCAAATTGTCTTCTTAAATCAACAGAAATAAAAGAGTGTGAAGAGTATTCTACTGTTAGAAAGAATAAATTGAACACAGCAAAGGAGACTGTCTCCATTCCAAGATAATCTACAAGGCACTAAGGGTAGGAAATGACAGATAACACAGAAGTGACGGAACAAGACTCCTCAGTCGGGTCGGAATATGGGGTATTTTGGTAAGAATTCTATTAGTATTACCTGTAAAATAAAGACAGAAAAGAATATATTGACAAAATATTTTTCATTTAATGTACATAAACCTGAAGAGTCTAGTTGGTTTCTACAGGACTATATTTCATCTTGGATTCCAGGAAGTTAAACGCAGGAAACAGGTCTGCAAAGAATTAAGTACAACTCTCCACAAAACAGGGCATTCATTTCCAAAGCGAACTGGCAGGCAAACCTACCTGCTAGAACAAAGCTGTTACTGCCCCCGATTTACAACAGCTGTTTGCTGAGAGCCAAACTCTATTACATTTTTATATCCCTGAACCTTTTATTTTGGCCAAGTAGAAGAGATTAAAACTACTTTATACAGATTATAGAAAAATGTCTGGTTTTATTTTTCAATTAAAGCAGCTAATATTAGTTGAAGATTATTATTTTTTGTAAGTTGTTTGTGAAATAGGAGTTGCCCAAGGATTGACTATAAAACAACTGAATTGCGGAAATGCTTTCAAGATTTCCGTTTTCTGAGACAGAGTCTCAATTTGTGGGTGCCCTGGCCCGGAACTCTCTATGTAGACCCAAACTCACAGATACCTACCTGCCTGTGGTGGAATTAGAGGCTTAAGCCACTTCTATTATTATGCTATTCTATTATTATCATGATAAAAGAAGTCAGGCAGGCTTCGACATTACTATGCAGCCAAGGATGACCTTGCATTTCCGGATTATAGGCCACCAGTTTAAAGTGGTGCTGGGGATCAAACAGAGGGCTCCAGATGCTGGAGAAGCATGCTACTAACTGCACTATATTCTCAGAGCTGGAATGTTCAATGATAAACACTGGGAGTTTGGAAGGTCCATGATCGTGAATAGATCACATTGTGTATAAGTGTTCTTATGCTTTACGATTAAAGTTGCCTGCTTTCTTTTATTTTTGAAAAATTTTTTGAGATAGGGTCTCAGTGTGCAGCCCCAGCTGGCCTTAAACTCACAGAGATTCACTTCCCAGTGCTGGGAGGAGAGGTGCATGCCATCACACCCAGCAAGACTGCATATATCCAAATCTGTTTTAATAGACTTTATTTATTCAATAAGTTTATTCACTCTAAGTTAAATTTCAGCCAAGTTAAAAGAAAAGCCCAGATAGTTGTGCAGTGGTGGCACACGCCTTTAATCCCAGCACTCAGGAGGCAGAGGCAGGTGGATCTCTGTGAGTTCGAGACCAGGCTGATCTATAGAGTGAGTTTCAGAACAGGCTACAAAGCTACACAGAGAAGCCCTGTCTTGAAAAACCAAAAGAAAAAAGAGCGAGATAATCAACCAATCAATCAATCAATCAATCAATCAATCAATCAATCAGTGTACAACATTTTCAGCTGAGCAGAGGAGCTTCGCCTTTTCTAAGATGCACATGGATCTGTAAGCTTTCAAGATACTTTTGGTTGGCCACAAATCTAAAGAAAATGAATTAATCTAAAGAAAATGAATTGTGTCCTGCAAGCCCCAACAGACAGACATTCAGGCTGAGAAGCTAAAAGGCATGAACAACAGATGACAAACTGTATTATATTTCATTTGGGATGAAATTCCAAGAAATGTAATGAAAACAGCTTTATACTTACATACTCCATCATATTGCTAGTTTCACATTTCCTTTTAGTCAACTTCCAGTGCAAAGCAAGCTAAAAAGGTAGAGTTTGGTTAAGAATTTTTCCATTATCTTTGGCTAATTACAAAGTACTGCATTTGAATAAGTCACTAAAAGTAAAATCTAGGCTACATGATATAAAACAATGCCTCAAATACCTTATCAAGAACATATGCTAATCACAGGGTTAATTAGTTAATCCATTCCTTTGTGTGCTCCATAATTCACTTAGTACTTACGTTTTCAATTTGATAATGCAAATATACAAATGGAACACTTATTTGTCAGGAATTTCTTACCTTGTGGTATAATCTGTTATTTTCCCATTCTAGTAACTTCTGAATCGATCTTCTGGTCTAAGAAAAAGGATCGAGACTCCGTGAGAAGATAAGCTGAACATTATAAACTAATTGTATCTGTATTTTCTGCCAAAAGGGAAGTAATACTTTGAGTGGTTACTGTATAGTTATAAAAGGATATCCATCCATCCATCCATCCATCCATCCATCCATCCATCCATCCATCCATCCATCCATCCAAATGAAGTACACATATTAATTGCTATGTGGTATATGGCCTGCACTGGACTGCTATGAAAATCTATCAACAGTGCTAACACAGATAGATCAGCATGTGGTCCTCATATAGGACTACTTTTTCAGCAAATACTTCACATTCCAAAGACAGCACAGGTTTTCCTAGCAGACAGTGAAGATTGAAATGAGAGATGTGGCTAGGCAGGAAACAACAGATATGGGGAGTTCCTCCATTGTAATACATTCAAAAGGCATGCATTTTTTGGGGAGTAAGAAAGGTTTCTAAAGCTTTTGAAAACACTGTAGGATTACCAGGCATTTTTGATTCTTATTAGGAACTGAAAAAGGTTTCTGATGAACATAAAAGAAGGAAAACCAGATGTGCCCCAGCATTTGGGAAGTGCATTCCTGTGAGTTCTGGGCCAGTCAGGAGACAGTGTCACCCATTGAGACCCTGCCAATCAAAATAAACAAATAAAAAAGAAGGACCCATCAGTGCAAAAATTAAAAATAAAAAATCAGTAGAGAGGTGAAAGATCTGTATTTTCATCATGAAATGAAGCATTATTTTGTTGAACTGTCCACACTGCTTCAATGCAATACAGAAATGAGAAAGAAAACCCCCAAATCTGTATGAAACCATAAAAGACCCCAAGAGCCAACTGAATCTTGAGAAAGAACAAAGGTAAAGCTATCGCATGTCCTGATGTGAAAGTATAATTAAAGGATTATCAAAACGGTGTGACACTACTGCAAAAGACAGACATAAGGGACTGGAGAGGTGGTTCCAGAGTTAGAAGTACTTGCCACTTTTTCAGAGCACGGGGATTAAGTTTCTAGCATCCATATTGGGAAACTTACAACCATCTGTAATTCTTACTCCAGGGAATCTGACCTTTTTCTGGACTCCATGGGTGCCAACACACATGTGTACTTGCACACACACACATACACACAAATACAAAAACAAGCCCCCATAGACATATAGACCAGTAGAACAGAACAGGGAGCCTAAAAATAAACCCCCATACCCACATGTGATCAAGTAATTTTCAACAAGGATAGCAAAAATATGCAATGGGAACGATAGTTCCTGAATGGTGATGGGATACAGATTATGAGTGAAGTTGGCCCTAGCTTATATCACATCACACAAAAATTAACTCAGATGAATTAAAAGCTTAACTATCTACTCAGAAACCATAAAACACCTTTTAAAAAAGATCATAAGTGGTAAGCTCCTTGACACTGCTCTTGGCAATGTTTTCTTTTAATATGACTTCCCAGAACAAAAAACCCATCCTAAAAAAACCAAAAGCAGAAAGCCCTAACTCCTCTTTCAACCCCCATCAAAAAACAAAAAACAAAAAACCAAAACATAAAATCCAGACAAAGGGAAAATAAAAAAGAAATGAAAAGGCAACCCACAGAATGTGTGACCATTATCTGTAAGTCATATATTCAAAAACACCTACAACTGAACAGAAAACAACAAAACAACTAGCAAGGAAGCAATCTGTCAGAAGAGTGGTGGCTTTTATTTCCGGTCAGGAGGGGGCAGAGGAAGCCTGTCATTATGGGAGTCTGCCACCTTTATTACCTAGTCATGGCTCCTCTCCCTATCTTATTGGGGAACCTGTCTAATTCCTAGTTCTCAATACGATGATATATGCATCAGTAGTATACTTTGACGTCAGCTTTCTCTCATGTTCAGACAGCATTTGCTGAGAACAGCAGAATCCTGGCGAAGGGGAAAGGGGAGAAGGGTGAAATATGCATTTCCTTTAATCTCAGCCCTCAGGAGGCAGAGGTAGGTGGATCTATACTTGAGGCCAGCCTGGTCTACAGATCAAGTTTCAGGACAGCTAAGCCTACACAGCGGGACCCTGTCTCAAAAAAAATTAACAAAGAAATGCGTATAAGTATCTAGTTTTCTCAGAGTTTGGTTTTGCCTGTAGTCACTTCTGTTGTTGTGACACAAGATGGCGCTCTTAACCCCACCTTTTTGATACAGTCTCAGCAGTTTTCAACCTATAGGTGTCGACGGCTCCTCTTTTTGAGACAGGGTCTCACTATGTAGCCCTGGCTGTCCTGGTAACTCACTGTGTAGACCAGGCTGGCCTTGAACTCACAGAGACCCACCTACTGCTGCCTTCTGAGTGCTGGGATTAAAGACGTGTTTGAAGCCTGGCTAAAATTGGTAGTCTTGCAGAGGATCTAGGTGCAGAGAATCCAGGTTTGGATCGAATCACAGTTGTTTCAGGGGATCGAATGCCCGCCACTGGCCTCCATGAACATCAGATACACAAATGGTACACATACATACATACAGGCAAAACGCTCATACACATAAGAATAGATAAATACATAAGAAATTAAATAATGAATAATCTCCCACATAGACAGGATTTGACCTAGATGGATTCACTGCTATATTCTATGAAACTGTTAAGGAAGAAATTAGTATTTCTCTGCAGTATCATCCAGAAAGCCAAAGCAGAGCAAATACTTTCTAACTTAGTGTACAGAGCCATTGTTTCCACATTACTCAAACCAAGTAAAGATGCTACACAATCATACCTGCAGGCTAGCTGGTATTTCTTCATAATCAATGTCACAATAATCCCAAATTAAACATTACAAATACAGTAAAGTATTTTATCACAGCCAAATGGGATTTGAAAAATCAATCAACCATATTAGCAAATGTAAAGAGAAAAATCACGTGATTATATCAACACATTCCGGAAAGGCTTTGGACAAAATGAAAAACAATGAGCAGACTCAGAATAGGAAGGAACTTCTTCAACTTGATAAATAGTATCTACAAAAAAATACAGCTAAATGTATAGCTAAGATCACCTATGAAACAGCTGAGGTCCATAGCCACTATTCCTATTAAAAAATCACTGTGAGCCAGGTGGTGGTGGTACATACCTTTAATCCCAGCACTGATTAAAGCACCAATGAATGGACTAATTAGAGGGGGTAGAAATAAATGCACATAAATCTACAGCCATCTGATTTTTGACAAGTGATGAATGGCATCTTATTGGAGAAAGGATAGTATAGTCTTTTTATATATAGTTCTTTAACAAATGGATGTTCACATGTAAAAATGAATCAATTCAAAGATCATGGACATAAATGTAAACAGCAAAACTATAAAACCCTATACTATAACCTAAAACAAAACTGAAGTGACTTTAGGCTTGCCAATAAATTCTTAGATACTCAGCCAAAAGTAAAAAGACATAAGAGAAAAAAATGGTTATGTTGAAATAAATAAAATTTGAAAATTCTGGTGTAGATAGTTAATTGTTACGAGAATAAGAAGATAAGCAGTGGGCTTGGAGAAAATATTTGCAAAATACTTAGCTTGAAGATTACTGGCATGTAAAGTATATGGATTGTTTTAAAAAGTTGAGCAGTATTAAAAGAAAAACAATTAAAACTGGGCATGGCTCCCTCAGCTCCTATCTTGTTGGAAAATTGTATCCTTTTGAAAATAGATGGGTGAGCACACTCTGGAAGGTACGCAGTCTTTTTTTCTTCTTCTGGAAGCATCCCATACCTGGGTTATTAAAAATGGAGATGGCTGGGCACAGTGGCACACACTTTTAACCCTAGCATTTGGGAGGCAGAGACAGGTGAATCTCTCTCTGTGAGTTAGAGAACAGCCTACTCTACAAGGTGAAATGATATCTCAAAAACAAAAAACCCAAACTACAACACCCCCCAATACAAAAACAACAATTTCCCAAACAAAAAGATATCATGAATAGAAACCTCTTCAAAGAAGATACACAAATGGCAAGTAAGCACGCATGCGCGTGCACACACACCTGCTTAGTATCTTATGACTCTGTAGAACTGGAAATCAATTGTGAAAGACCACTGAACATGTGTTAGGATGACCAAAATCTAAAATAGACACAATGCCAAATGCTGGGGAAGAAGATGTGGAGAAACAGAAGTCCTGTTCACTGCTTGTAGGAATGCAGACTGGAATGACACTATAGAAGGCAGTTTGGCAGCTTCCTTCAAAGCTAAACATACAAAAAAAAAGGCTAAACATATTCCCTCTGAAGGAACAGCATTACACCTCTTGGTACTTACTTAAGTGAGTTACAAAGTTCTGCTGACTCATCTTTATGATTGCCAAATCTTTAAACAACTAAGATGGTCTTCAATAGGTGAACAGATGATAAAAAACATGGTATATTTAAACAGAGGAATATTATCCAGACTTTCCAAGGATCGATCTGGTGAAATGAGCTACCAAGCCAAAAAAAGTTGAAAAACTTTAAATCTATACTGGTAAGTGGAGGAAGCTAGTATAAAAAAGACGATCTGGAATAGTTTTAAGCATATGTTTCTAGGAGGAACAGAAACATTAGAGACAAAAAAGTTGAGTGATTTCTCAGCATTTGGAAGTGGGAGTGATGTAGAGAGGAAGGACAGCAGATACTTAGGGCAATGAAGCTACTATTCTGTATCACACCATGATGACAGACAGAATAATTAACTGTCAAAACCCATAGAATGTAAAATACAGAATGAACCCTAATGGAGACCATGAACTTTACTTTTTTTTTTGGTTTTTTTTTTTTTTTTTTTTTTTTGGTTTTTTCGAGACAGGGTTTCTCTGTGGCTTTGGAGGCTGTCCTGGAACTCCCTTGGTAGTCCAGGCTGGTCTTGAACTCACAGAGATCTGCCTGCCTCTGCCTCCCGAGTGCTGGGATTAAAGGCGTGCGCCACCAACGCCCGGCCCGAACTTTACTTATTTATAATGTAACAACACTGGCTCATCAATTATA